GAACGCGCCGCGTGCGCTGCTGGTGATTCCAAAAGATGAGTGTCAGGAATGTTTCCAGCGGCAGAAGAAACGCCAGGAAATTTGTGTAGGTGCCGAAGAGTTTACTGGATATGGACATCAGCAGTCGGAAAGAGTCACCATAGCGTTATAAAAAATTAAATCTTATAACTTTTTGATCACATTTCGTATGTAAAATTTGGTTACGTTTAGACTTAGGATTAAGGAGAAATTAAATATTTCTGAAGGGGACTCAGAATTTTCACTGTTCAGAAAGCACAATGGGTTGGAGCACAACACGTACCGTTGTCAATGCGTCATGGCAGCTGAGCGTCAATCCTTTTATTCTGGCCCTGTGGCGTCATCCACTCATAATGTAACTAAAAAATCATGAAAATTAGAAGATTGCATTCAAGAGGCTGTAAAAAGTGTGTAAATGGAAAAAAAGCACACTCATTGTTAGTGACACTCACGCCTTTTTATCGCCTTGTATGTGTTTACCCCAGATTTGCTGTACTAGATTAGTTACCCTAATTATTGCCCATGAAAATTGTTTGCAGATGCCTCGTTGAAAGAAAGGCAGAGCAGCCTTGAAGTGCTAAGGAAAGAAAGGCCAATGGGGGAAAACAAAATAGTAGAAGAGTTCCCTGAGATTAACTGCATCGTTTCCAGTATCAAATTACTTTGGGTAAATGTTGGTCAAACAGGCAGCAGTGGTCGCACGCTCCCAGCGATCAGTAGGCTAAATCCAACGGCTATCACTGAATGAACAGATCGGGAAGTGTTGTTTAAAATATGGGAGACGTTGTTGAAACCTTGCCACTATTTAACTTTGCTTCTGGGGTGCTTCATTTCTAAGCAGTGAACATTCAGGAGCCAGAAACATATGGAATTTGCATTCAATAAATTTGGCTATTCAATCTTGAAAGATAAAGAATTCCAAAATTTCTGAAAGATTGGGGTCCAGGTTTTTTAAGCTACCCTGTACTGAAACATGCAGGCAACGTCGTTCATGATCGGGAAGGAACACTGGCTCCTTTCTTTATCGAAAGTGCATGAAATAAATGAATCAAGTTCACCGCGTAGCAATTAGTGCAGTGGCAATAGCCATAGAAGGAATGAGTTGTTGAAAGTCTTAAGATCCAAAGTTCATTGAATCCCAGTGCCTATAAAAGGGTCAGACTTTACCATTACAAGTTTCCCTTCAACAAGCAGGAAAAGAAGTCACCAATAATGACAAGTTTAATGACACCAAGCCTCTTATACTATAAGGTGATGGTAGAGCCTCGCTAATGAAAGTACTGAGCGAATGCAAAATAGAAAAAAACTGAACTTGGCCAGATCGATGAGGCAGATGCAGTTGATGAAGAATGAAGCACTCATGAATAATTGGCGAATTGAACTAATCCTGAATATTCATATTATTATTCCCATCCTTACCGGAAGGCTTCTGTAACGGGAAGATATTCATATAACTCGAATAATTTTTATTTGTTTGTTCATTGAGGCTCATGTGGGTGTCAAGAGTTTTTAAGGTGACTTTATGGTCATCGAAACACTGTCTAAAAGGGAATAAGTACGCTTGTAGCGCCAGGCGTAAATGACTCCTGTATTTCCAGCTTCCGTTATTGTGCGTGCCTTCTCTCTTGCTATACAAGGACCGCTTTCAGCGAGAGTTTGATATACTTAGATCTAACTGTTACAATGGTTCGAGGTCTTATAACCATGCTACCAATATAGGGTCATTGATGAGGGTTTTCTGGTCTGACTGATCTCCAACTCTGGAACTGAACTATATTTGATGTGAGTCTATTTACGCCTAGAGGCTGGACGTTTCTTGAAATAACTTCCTACTGGGATCTCGAAACGTGCCACCGCTCATCTGTCTGTTTCACCTCAAACTGGTCACCCACTTCTTTTCCTTACAACTCACGATATTCAGCCTCCAACTCAACCCCAATTGTTGCAAGAGAACCTGAATCACTCACAGATTTAAAAGGGGCTGGACCTACGCCGGTAGCCCAGAAAACCTCCCTCTCCTGTTTATTTCTTGCTCTTAACTATTTTAGGCCTAAACCTGTCCATTGTTCAAAAGAGTGAAAATATAATTTTCCTTCTGTACTGGTCTGTTTTCCTCTCGCTGAAAATATTGAACCTACGAATAACTCGGGACCTTATGTGGGAATAACATAATATTAGACCCTACAAGGCACCACACCTCGTTGAAAATAATATTTTAATGGGAAGGAACCAGTGAAACAGTGGTTGGGCGAAGATCCTGCAGCGTGGATATGGAAATAGGGCGTATATGCATGAACGCTCTCTGCTTGCATCCCAGCGAAGTGGAATTTTTAAAAATGTCGATTAAACCCCAAAGTATTATTTATAAAAAACTAAGTTACCGTTTAACTGAAAACCGAATTTAAATCAACTGTATATTGGCTCTGAAAAGTGTTTTCTATACATATCGAATGGTTTCTTTTCCACATAAACCCTTTTTCCAGGGAACTCTTGAATTCGCGTTCTCGGTATGAGTAATCATAACCAAAACGAGAACACGGCTTGCGAAACTGACTACGCAGTATTATGAGCGTTAATGATTACGTGGCATAAAACGAGGGTTAGCAGATGGTGTGATATTCTCCCTTCCAAACGCATGACCATGTTTTGTTATCAGTACAAAATAATTTTACTTTCAACATTTTCAGAGGTCTTATAGGTGTCGGACGCAACTTCACACACTACATTATTATATAATGATTGTCATGAGCTAAGTGCGCACGGTACACATTTCCTTCTGCTTCACTCGAAAATCTGTCCCACCTTTTCAACGATTTCCAATAGGGGTTAGACTTCTAGCACCGTTGCATGAATCTGATCGTGAGCTTCAGTATGCAAAGAAACTCTATGAGAAGGGATAGCCATTATTATATCATGCTTCTTTTAATTCGCATATATTGAAACCACGAAATGTGTGGAATGACCACTAAAGCAAGGACTCTGATGGCAAATACTCCATGCTGGGCCAGTGGATGCCAATGAATCGTATTTGCTCTCACTCCCGTGGGAAAAGATCGTCGTAAATTTGGCTCGAAAATAGTTGCGATGACAAGCTGATATCTGAGACACATTTGAACTAGACTGTCATTTTAATGGGACTTTTGTCTCTCTTCAGGAATTTTCCACTAATTCTTGAAACTGAAACTGAAGCTGAAATTCTCGCAGTGTGCAACCTGTCTAAAGATTGGTCTCCTCATCTCTTGGGATGAGGGCAGGTCTCCTTATCTCTTGAGAATGGATACAATGACATAAAATCATCGTTCCGGATGACCATGAATGCTCATTGCTTAGTGCTAGAAATCCTTCATCAGAAGCTAAAGAGAGCACAGGAGATAATGAAGCTGATAAAATTATTTTCTCTTAGGTGATACAAAAAAAGGAACGGTCGTAGAAGATCCCAAGGAAATATGTCTACGATTCAAAAACTCGTTCACAAAGGAGTATTCACAAATTGTGAAATAAGTCGTCAATTACAAGTACCAGTATATTCATCCATTGGCTATTGGGATCTTCATACCTACCAGAACTCTTCTAGACTGAGATACCTGAACAAGGGAAATTCAGTGAGGATGAACCGGGATCGTTAGGAATTGAAATATGGGAATAATGGTGATGGAAATAGGATTTCCATGACAGCTCCGATCTATTGTAAGACGGCCAGACATCGAATCCAAAAAAAAACCATCACAAAAAGAAAGAGATTTTGGTGTAAAGGATATTTTCCGAATTTGCGATGTCAATATTTTGCACGGTTTCCCATGCCAAAGGTGCGCTTTGCTACCCTGTCAACTTCTACGGCATCCCCCTAAGTGCGAGGTGTTCCACCCCCCCAAAACACGTTTCTGCGCAGATCTAAGAGGGGTCTCTCCGACCTTCCTTGGTTGTAGGCCTCACCTCTCATATCACCTAGCAGTATTTTGGTTGAGATAGGCCGAAACGTCACTTGATGTGGATGGGTTAAATTCCATGGTCCTCTGGAAGGAAGTCGTAGTTATGAAATCTACAATTTTCGTCTCGAAATTGTATAAGATTAGCTGCATGTGCGTGGCTGAAAAAAGCCGAACTCAGCAGCATCCCCTCTTTCACTAACTTTTGCAACTCGTAACGTTTCAGATTATGTATATTCTTATGAATACTCAAGTCGATTCGCTTTGGAGCCGTAGCATACACTTAAGGACCCAAAACTGCTGCATTGCGAATGTGATCTACAGTTGGCTAAAGTACCCAAATGAACGCGCATTGCGCACATGAGCGAGTGAAAATGCTGAAGAAGAAGCTCTCCCTTCATAGCCGGGTGGAAAAGTCCCCCTCAGCCCTGGGGAGGGATACCTCATCCGATTTCCTTCAATAGTGATAGAACAGTGGTCGAAAAATACATTGATAATTTAAAAATTCCAGCGACAGGTGACATACATCTGAGAAACATGTACATTACATATTGGGTTTGGTTTTGGATTTTCGATCCTTCCTTCCTCAGTCCTTTATAACTTCTCAAGTTACCTGAACATCATGAAAACTATTGAGGATTACTCAAATCCGCCTATTTGTCATTACGCTTTTCTTTGACCACGGAAATGAGTAACTCACATCACAAACGATATTTAGATCCCGCTTTAACAATGAAGTAACATTTTTAGTTTAAGCTGCCATCACCAGAACCCTTATACTTACCATCGAAATGGACATCAATCTAGCAGGCAGGTTCTGCTGTGTCTTGGCCTTATTTAGTGTTTACCAACTTAATTCCAATTCTTCAATGAAATGACAAGTACTGGCTATGTTTGATTCCCATTATACATGTCCAATAGCGAACTTTCGCGACGTAGCTGTTCCTTGGTTTGAAATCGCTCGTTTCATCGAATTCATCGAATGAAGAGATGCCTATCCACCGGCTTTCATGGAAACTCTGGACCGGAAGAATAATGGACTACCACATGAAATCACTCCAAAATCCTTTATTGACATAACCGTAAATTAACTCTTATCAAACATTCTTGTCAGAAGACCTCCGTTTCTTCCCCATTATGTCTGGAAACAACATTCCAATGTCAATGCCATTCAGCTGGAGAGCATTCGTGTTTTGGATAAGTAGACTCACCCGATCGCTTCTTGAACTATCCATGAGATGTGAATCTCCAGTGTCCAGTCGAGACGTTCCCAGCACACGATGGGAATGTGACATAGTGGACCACGGTGGCCTGGTTTCTCCCTGCTGATATTTGGAAGAAACCGAATCAATTTCAAGGCATTCGACTATTCGACAGAGATACACGAAAAATGCAATTTAGCGTATCCCAACCTTTCCCGAGGAGGTTGCGAATAACAATCCTTTCCGTGCAAGCTTGACTCGGACGGACTGCATTAGCCTTCGATTGAGGAGGCAGTGACATATGAAGATCAGCAATCCCTACGGGGAGTGGGAGAATGCTCTACATGCATTATCTTATTGAAATAGATTGCCCAGGAAGACCTTTTGTCAACTATTGGGCGTTTCGTGATTCACATGACAATCAATTTAACGTAATCAGGCGGCGAGAATACCACAATGTGAATGTGTGCTGAACGTTTCTGAAGGATTCGATGAAAACTGCAAAATATGAACTGCAATGCCTCATAGGGATTAAACTTTTAATGTGTTCACTTGGAATTTCACATGCGAAGTAATGGATTTCATTTTAATGCTGAATGTTCATCGATTATGTGACGCTACTAGGAAAACTCAGCCTCTCCATGAAGGGTTAACGGGTTGAAAAAATGCTGGCCATATCCTGGCAAAGGGACTTGATGATTTCATTAAGATGATTAGCATTGATGAACAATTTACTGTCGAATTCTGGCGATGTATCTATGCTTCACCAGACTTCTGTCTAACTGTAAGTAAACGAGTGAAATACCAAGTATTTATAATTATTTCAGCATTGGTTCACTTCGCGATTAATGGAAGAGAAGTGGTTTTTGACTATCTGAACCGTCCTTACAAAAGTTCACCTGAACGAACAAGGTGCATGTCTTCCCCTGGATGAATATTGAACCAGGGATGAATACACGTACCTCTATCAGATGGACATACGCTAAAGAGGTATCTACCAGATGAGGCTCGATAAGGGGACTTCCTGGAAGATCTAGACATCATCGCATGAATTATGTCATCGCCCGATTTACCTGAGAGGCATTGATGATGGTGAAGAGGTAGACGAAGACAGGCGTGACTTGCATGTAGAAGAACCCAAATATCCAGCCGATGCCCAATAAGCACGAAAGAGATGTAGTGGTCCATACTATGTACCTGGACAATTTCAATATTTTATAGTGTCAACATTTGAAGTCGTAACGAATAGTTCCAAAAAACACGAATCCTAACTTACACTTCGTTCTTCTGAGTGGAATGTCCGATATTCCCACTCTGACTAATGTTTCGAATCGCCAGAAACATCAAAACAGTGTTCAAGAGAATAATGACCAGGACCGGGCCGGCGAAGGTCCAGATGTAGCGAGGCGGTGACAACCAGCAGCTGGGAAATAAATGAATAAATACAGAAACATGTCTATGACATTCATGATGTCCACAATATCGTCATTTGTACCCTTTATTTATAGCATTGTACCCAACCAATGTAGATGCTCTTGATTTTTCTTTGAATCCCTTAGTTCGTGTTTAGAAACATACTGTGCGCAGATGTACCTTTGAAAGTTAAATTAAATGCATCCTATTTATTTTGGAGCCCCTAACGCAAAAATATCTATAAATGTGCATTGACTTAAGGAAAGACAAAAAAAATAATTTTCCAAGATCTGCCAATGTTTCTAGCAATTTTTAGGAGCTTCCAGCATGAAATCAAGTCTCACAATTCTCCAGCACCATATCCGTATGTATCAGTGCCGAAAGACACCGCAGCAGTGATGCCGACGATCCCGAAGGGAACACCATAACCCGTGATGAAGTACGTCCGTGTGGGTAGATTGGATCCGGTTGGAAATACCAGGACAAGTTGACGATAGATGAAAAACCCCTCCAAGGCCATCCACATGAAGGCACATAGGAATATGAAGTGAAGAAAGATCCCCGAGATGGCACAACCTATCTGTATTATGAGAGGAGTTCGGAAAAGGGAATAAACATCTATGAATTCAATTTTCAAATTGAATCAATGTTAGTCTAGTAATTACGTTACGATGAGACTTTCATAAGGGAGGAGATTCCTGGTGATAACATTCGTATGAACATGACAAATGTTTCAGATGAATTTGAATCGAAAATATAATTACGTGGATGATGAAATTGGGGTTATAGAGTTTCGAACAGATTTCCATACCAACTGTGTTTTCTTGCAAATGATAAATGATGGAAAAGTTAACATTCATACTTGGATCTAGTACAGAAGCCTTCAGTCAAATTTCAGTACCATTCTAGCCAAGAAAGTTATAAAACAACCTGGAAATATCTGTATGTGCTCTTGATACAATCAAGTCTTGTTAAATTATTTATGAAACGATAAATATGGATCCCCAAAAGGAATATAATTTGATGCAATGATGTAATACGGTCCAGGTCGTGTGATATTCCGAGAAGTTCATATCCTCACCTGAGACTGATTGACGATTTGCCGGTCAATGAGAAGGAGGAGGAAAATATGGCCCAACAAAAGGCAAATACATAACTGCTTGTTCAGCTTCACTGATTTTGAATTCCCATTACTAGAAAAGATTAAACATCCAGTATAGACAACCAAGGTTTCAATGTTCTGGAAAAATGCAAACACTTACTCGTTAATTTGAAATATGATCAAAGCGAGTATGAGTCCGATAATGGAGAGGGATGACAAAACGATGGTGAGCACCTCCAGCGCTATGCCACGTCCCTGAAACGAACCCATGCTCTTGTAAATAATTCCAATCAAATTCAGCCACAGTTATTTCAATTTCAGTTTTAGTGCCTACGTTTCTGGCCGAATCTTTTGGATTCGTTTAACACTTGGTTGAGAATGAAGTGCTTTTGATAAAGCAGTTCATGTACAGACAGAGCAAGACAATGTCAGAGTCAATATGCTAAATCATGCCACATCCTAGCCCTATCTCCGAAATAGGGATTAATTCAGGGGTGCCTGGATAAGATACCTCGTATATCCATATCCCACCACATTGATCAATCACAGATAGCCATTGCTTCATTCTCCGCGCAACTCATGGACCCAGGACAAAATGTATAATATTGATATAATAAAAAACAGAAGGTCCAGAGGCCGATACGAAGGTTGAAGTAGTCTTGAATGTGGCATACTTTCAGCACGACATCTGGCAACACTGCTTGGCAGTACCGGAGCAAACACTAAGCATAATTGAACGACAGCTAATTTCATTTTTTAATGGCAAAATGGCGCATCGCAAACAAAATCACTTTTCGTCATCTACAAGTCAATGTCTTTCTGATGGTTGGTCTCTTACCTCCGAAACCCCCCAAGGAGTGGCTACCCAGGGGGAGGGGAGAAAAAAAGAAATGGAAATCACATATTAAAAAATAGTATTTGTTCCTCACAATTCTGGGGAGATGGAGCTTTAAATTTGGTAGAGCTATTCTGTGATGCGAGAGGAAGGAATTTGCCCAATTTCTTTCTGTTGGTGCTTTCAGAGAGGCATATGAGGAGTTTGAATTTTGCTGCGATAAAGTTGAACATAGGTAATAGGTGCTATTGATACAACGTTTGCTTCTCTAGGTTATACCTCGTAGCTAAGGGTAGAGAGTGTGTAACTAGAGGCGACACTCCGAGGGATAGTGGGGGGGGGGGAGTCGAAATATTATAGAGACATCTGGTTTTTTGTTATCAAAAACACTTCCATGAGGCGTGCTTCGTGGCAGCGAAATCTGGAATCTATTCATTCGCGGTTTCGACCCAAAGGGGACAGCGTAAGACGCTTGTCTTGTGGAGTCCGCTGCTCGGCCACGACTAAGTTGTTGGTGTGCGCACGCATGGTGGAGGATCGACAGTGACATCTACATTGCGATACTATCATTGAATGGGTTTCGAGCAGAGTGTCGCCTCCAATTATACCCTTTACTTTTCGGTCATAATCCAGGTAGCCGAGGACCTACGCGACTCTGCTTTTCCAGGTTCAGGATAGGCGGGATACCCATCCCGTCTAGCCTGAACTCCTACATAAACTGTGAGAAACGCTTTTTATCTAATCTACTGTCTTTTTCAGCCTATCTGGCATGGCCTAGAATAACCTTAGCCTGACTTGAGAGCCCTTGAAGCCTATGCCCTTTCAGCCATAGGTTAGGCGGAAGAATGTGAAACAATGCGTATCAGTATGGGATTGGTGCGGATGGGTTAAGCGTTAAACTAACGCGAGAGGTCTTCAAACCAATGCTTCTCTGGGCCATAGGCTGAAAAAGAATCCGCAGTTAAGGGTTTCATCCTTTCACTAGCCACCGCTGTGCGAGATTTTCGTCGCGTAGTGCAGCACCAATGGTGAGGGAGACCAAAAGATACGTTCGAGCGTCCAACAGCCTTGAATGCCAAGACACAACGTTTTCCCCTTGATCTCCACATATAGACAAATGTATATGAAAGGATCAAGGTTAATTCAGTAAAGAAATACAAGAACTTAGGATAAATTTATTTGAGAGAAATCCTACAACGGGCCAATTGTAGCAGTTAACTTAGCGCATATGCATCTTACACCAACGATATTAAATATTGCGTTGCAAAAGGGATTTGTAAGATTCCTTTATAATACACATTTACATTCTTCGATGCTGTATGCTTATTGAAACTGAATAAATAGAATTACAACTCCATAGGCGATAGGAAACACTGGCACTGGTGGCACGGCACTCCGCACTTGAGTATACTCGAGCGCCACAGCGAAAGGGTTAAGCAGCTAAATAATTTAGATACGATGCGACCGCAGAACGGAAATGGCTAGGGAGCGTAGGTTTGCACTGATCAGTGAGCAATATTAGGATATTAATGCCGAGATGAGAGCTGAATTGCCTCAATTCAGCAATCCTCTGGCTGCGTTGGCTGCGTTAACCGTAGAGCGACGTGAGGCTGTTAACGCTATGCGGAGAGCAGCGCGTGTACTCGTCGAACCACCATCCACCCGGCGGAGGAAGGGACGAACAAAAGTCATTCCAGCCGTTCCGCATATACTCGGCACTATGTGGAATGCTCCGTTGAAAACTGCCAAGCTGTTTATTTTTAAGGAGAGAAAGGCTAACTTCGGCACAGTTGTTGTCAAGATGGTAAGGTGTTCCATTCGAACCCATTGAAGTATCCGCCAGAGTTCAAAGCGTTGTTGATATGATAAGATGCAAGGGCCCGCAATTTTCACGAGTTCATCAGGCAGCACAACGTCTCAAACGCATTTGCTTCCTTCGATTCTTCATCGACGGACCACGTGGCAAAAGATTCCATGTCACACGGCTTTCGACTTGCTACTGGATCTGCTCAAGCATAAAAAGTGTCGTTTATTGTGCAACATGCTGGCGGTAATTCGAGCTGCCGACGTCATCGTTTGGGACGAAGCGCCGGCAACGATCGAACTGCCGTTGCGAGACTCGATGCACGATGCCCGTCTATTCGGTGGCAAAGTTGTGCTTTCACCAAGTGTTGCTCTTCATCCGCAAGTCATCTCGCGGTCAAATCATCGAGATCTACAGCAAAATGAGCCCTTTGTGGCAATCGTTCCGGACGTTTCGTTCGTGAACGAGCTATTTGGAAAATGACATAGGGTCTGTGATGCCGAAGCGAGCAGCAAGCGCGCCATTCTGTCTCAGGATGAGCACTCCCATTTGGTCGATGCAGACATGTCGTCTCGATTGGAAGGCGAAATGCGGACTCATCACAGTCTCGACACTGTCAAGAAGGGTGATGGTTATGCTGATGCCGATCGGCAGGTCAACATTCCAGTTGAATTCAACACTCTCAATCCTCCGAGTCTCCCTCCACACGCCTGAAACTTAAAATTGGAACTCTCATAACGCTCTTGAGGAATCTACCGATTAGGAACGGGTATTTGAAACGGTACGCGTATGTTTGTCAGAGATATGAAAGCAAATGTTTCACAATTTGAGATTATCATTGGTGCGCCTCGCGGCAGCGTTCATTTGCTGCTAAGAGTTTCACCAGGCACGCCATCGGACGTCAGCATACCGTTCAGTCTTTGTTGGCATTTATTCCCTATCGTGCTTGCCTGCGGTATGACTATGAACAAATTTCAGGAACAGACATTCCATCGAGTCGGACTACTACTTCAGAAGACAGTATTTATGCATGGGCAATTGTACGTTGTCTGTTCGCAAATTCGCTCCGAGAAATCGCTGAAGATTCATGTCATCAACAGACCTAAACAACGCAAAACTGATGCTGGCACCGTTATCGACTTCTTCCTAGGGTAAAGACCCTGTGATGGACCGGTCCGCAGTGATGGGCCACAGCAAATACAAATTCCAATAGCTAAGCTTCCGTTGCCCGCCTACCCCTGTTGCGACCTAGGCCAGCAGCATTCTAGCACATACACACTTCAGAGGTAGTCATGGTACTAATGTCTAGTTTTTGGAAATTTTCTGCGACCTGGCCCATCACTGATTACCCGCCCTTAACTGGATATTTTACCTTTATTTATTTTCAAATTCATTTGTGGGGACTACTTTTTTGATTATGAAATGAAAGTTCTGTTTCTTCCCCACGAGTCTCGCGTTCCTCGATCTTACAAGGTTTCTATCATTTTTGTCTACTTCACGCATGTCAAGTTAGTGCTAGTAATTTGTTGCGGCTACAGGTAAGTGCAGCGCGTTGTTCCACAGCATATATTTGATGCATATATTAACAACGTGAACTGTATATCACATTTTGGATGCGGGAATTGACTAAGGCTGTTCGTAGTTGATGAACTGTGACTAGAAAGTATACGTACTTAGGTAGAAGGCAGCATGTACAAAATGAATACAGATACAGTAGACGGCATTACCACCACTTTTCTCCCGTTTTGTCGAGAAAAATCGAATATTTTATCGGCTTGAAAATAACAAAACACAGACAACACTAGTGGTAGTTAATCGCTGCAAACTTCAACATCTTCTATGTCATTTTGGATGCTCTCGCGCAGCATTCGGCATAAGGCAAGCAACGGTTCTCGCGCATATCTAGCGTGATCTCTGCAAAGAGCTCTTCTTTGCAGAAAGCCAGTCCATTCGCTATATCCTCTTAAGTCAACTGATGAAGGGGCCCATCTTCCAAGGGTGGAACTTCCGGACATGCAGGATTTGGAGAACCCATATGGTGAGATCGTGTAGGCTTTGGCGGCGCGACAGATTTACACGAGCACAACGTCCTTGAACGCCTGACGCACTGACGTTTTCACGAACCGTTCGGGGCCAGTCCTCCTGTCACGCAAGATCGTACCAGTCACGAGGAATTTCTCTTACCATAACTTGATCGTTATTTGACCGGGAATAACTGCACTTCTGCGCCAATGTCCAAGAAACTGGCGCTGAACGGCGGCCTGCACTCCGATTCGCGTCTTATCAGCGAACGAATCAGCGTTCTTGGATTGAAAATTGACAGCTCGGTGCTGAAGGATCACGAGGAATATATCCACATACGAGTTACAAAACAAGACAGGAGAAATGTTCTAGTGCGCTCAGGGAGATGAGTGGTGTGCGTGCCAACTGGGCTTTCTTAGCGCTCACTGGAAAAAAGTGTGCATGAAATGGGAAGCCCTGCCCTTTGGAATGAAATCTGAAAATCTGATAACTTGCTGAAACGGTGCAACACAAAAGAAGTTATTCAAATGATAAATCTGGGCTTCATACAGAAACATCCTGTACTTTGGCCGAACCTAAAGTGGAACAACGAGTGGCGGGAAGTGTACTGTATACATTTGAAACTACCCTAGCCGAATTTGAAATGGCCCTTATCAACATGAAAATATATGTATTAGATTCACTAGAAACTATTAGAATCAGAGTTTTCCAACTCACGACATATCCATGAAGGTCCATGAGAACTCCGAAATTCGTGAGATGGCTGCATTCACACACCGTCTGATCTCTGCTAAATGACACTTCATGACACCCTCTCGTGTCCCATTGATCCCTGCCCCTGCATTATGCAAGGAATATATTATCTGTAAATCATTGTAAATCTAGTTGGTTCTTTCGGATTCTTCGTATCTCCCGAAATCGGTGCAAACGCACTGTTGAGAAAAGTTCCAAAAGCTGCAGCGATGACTTTTGGGAACAAATGTTGGTTGTTCTCCTTCATGAAGGTCTCTCCATATTTCTTTGTACGGAGGGTCTTGGGGCGGATCCGTATTTTCCAGTATGAGAGTGACGGGATTCCTCAGGTTGAAGGTCTCGTTGACTTTTATTGCAAAGCTCAAAATTTTAGAATTAACGGTCTTCTCTTCTCCCAACCTAAGTAAGATTTACGGTTTAATAGGAAAACGAGAGCGATCACTCGATCAGAAGTGATTGCTTACGAGTTTTGGTGTCCAGGCAACAGTTGGTTTATCTCCCGAATGTCATATAAAACCCCGACATAGGAGTAATTTTCCCCTTGGAGGTCGCTTTCAAACGTTCTTGGCAACTTCAAATACGTATTGCTCTCCTTACTGGGGAATTTGATTCCATTAGTTCCCTTCTTTTGTCCATGAACTTCAATCAGCATCGTAGGTTTGGTATCTTCGAACACAAGTTGTGTTTTGAATTGAGTCATGAACTTATCTGACAGGCGCAGGCAAGAGTCGGTGACTGTTGTGAGAAGCGTTGTGAAAGTCCCCGTTCGGTTAGCCTGAAAAGGGATTAATTAAAACCCTTTTGTATTTTAATTATCATTGTACATGTTTGCAGTCTTTCCCAAGACTGTAAACATGTACATCTATTTGGCCCTTTCGTTACCGTACCTAGTACGTACCTCGTTTATCTGACGTTACTTATTGCCGAAAATACGTTCTGCATTAAGCAATATGCCTTCTTGAATGCAGTATGATAGTACACTGTAAAATGTTATGTTTCCAGAATGAAACCCTTAAGGAACCATTTCCGTGGTAAAGCTGTAACTGACACTTGAAGCTAACATGATACTTGGGTTCTGACGGCAGAACAAGGACCTAGGACATTCACACGTTCATTCCAGCATGTAGATATGAAGCAAATGCAGTGAACAGCAGTTCTACTCCCTAACATTAGGATTTTAAATATTTTCGTGAAAATAAAAGTATTTTCGTAGAGCCAAACATAGATGAGCTTAAACTGGTTGATTCCTGGAGCTACCATGACCTGACGGCTCTGATATGACAAATAACCAATGCTATAGATATTATCTGGATATTCACACGATTCCTCCCAAAATTAATTCTGAAATAAATATAGTAAAAGAAGGGTTCCAGGGATCACTAGACATAAACTTGTGTCGAAACCCTTCCTTAATAAAGGGGTTGGGCAAAATATGCGGGGCAGTTTCCAACAATACATTACACTTTGTACGTCTTGGGAACCCCACCCCCCACCTCCCTTAACCATGGGGGTGTTTCCGGAATGAATTCTCCGTTCATGTATTTATCGTTATCCCACCCCCTTCATCAATGACAACTCGGTCCTGGTATTTATCGGCACTCATTTCTCATGTCGATCGCAACCCTGTGCGTGAAGTCCATCTCCACCCCTTTTCATGTAGGCCTAGAAGTGAAAAAAAGGATAGAGAAACGGGATGGTTACGACGTGGGCGACATCGTCTTTCCAATCTAAGGCTAAGCGCTCCTGTTCCATACAGGTGGGATCCCGCCGTTTTCTCTCTCGCGAGTCACTCTCCTTGTGAGAGTGGCGATCAATATGAGGACGGGGTTCCGATTGATGAAGGGGTCGAGATCTCACCCCGGCGAAGAAGACATCCTTCCCCCAGGGATGGAAAGGAACTCCAAGTGTAATACGAGGGTACTTTTACACGTCCCTGCGGAAAAGTCAGTATCGGAGGTGTGAAAACCCCTATATGGGGAGGGGGGGGGGGGGGTTACAGGGGCGTTCGTAGAATCCCTCTCTCTCCCGTTGTAGTGTTAGGGATAGCATAGACATATTATTCAGCCACCTGGATTTAGCCACCATGTAGCACACTTGACCCGCAGTCAGGAGGCCCTTAGTTCGATTCCCGTCCGTTCCATCGTCTTTTTCGTCATCTTATGCCATCCAAACTATTCCCTCCCCCTGGATTATTACGTTCTCGAGAATAGATCCGACAGTCGCAACTGCCGGAAAAAAGTGCAAGCCCAAGGGAGGTAGACGTACACCCGGAGGCAGGCACATGCGCACATGGACTTGCGGTCATACACACAGAGGCCCAAGCATACTATATATACTAGCTGGTACCCGTGAAGCATTCACATCTTCATATTTAGGGTTAATGGATTTCTGTTTTAAAAAAAAATAAATGAAACACAGCTGGAAGTTTAAAAGACCATATTTCGAATAAATAATATTGCGTGCGCCCAGAAATTCCCCACGCTCCCTCCCTTAAACCAATACCAGAACTATCCTACAATGGCGGACAAATGCTTAAATACAAACAATTGCCGACATTTCGCGACCGGTGATCAGTCACTTAATAACATTGGACGTTGATGATTAGTAACGCACTATGATGGCCATTTATCGAGGAATTCAAGAAGGTATCAACCATGCCGATCGCATCATCAATAGCGGAGATTTTGCCAAATAAGCGCAGTCACTACAGAAATGGTGCGGCTATATTTTTAAATACAAACGTGGAAGTGGAATTTGGAAATGAGTTTCGAGTTATGTGCGAGTTCAGCTGATAAAACTAGATAGAGGTGTTCCTTGTCATCCACATTTAATCGTCCAACACGTGGTCGAAGATGGCAAGAACGAAGTGCATCACACCAGCCCAACGTGCCCAAGTTCAAGTACTTCGACAGCACGGACTGACGGTACGCGCAATTGCCAGCGAACTATTGATATCAATTGGTGCGGTCCAAAATGCTCTGAAGCATATCGAGAAGTGTGGCACCGTTGACAACGTTCTACGAGCAACAAAGAAGCGCAAAAGCACGCCCAAGTTGGATCGTATGATTCATCGACTATCTGAAGCTGATCGACACAAGACCGCCGTCGCTATCCATGCAGAGATGAAAACCCATCCAGATTACAATCTGAGCATCAGAACAGTGCGTCGAAGACTGCAAGAGTTTGGTTTGAATGGCCGCGTTTCACGCAAGAAGCCACTCATCTCTGCAAAAAATCGCAGAGCACGTCTTTCTTTTGCCTGCAAGTATCTGTCCTGGACCAAGAAGGACTGGCACAAGGTACTTTTCACAGACGAATCGAAGTTCAACCGGTTTGGATCAGATGGTCGCTCGTACATTCGTCGTCGCCCGGGCGAGGAAGCCCTGCCAAAGTGCACGCAAGCGACGGTCAAGGGAGGCGGCGGANAGGTACTTTTCACAGACGAATCGAAGTTCAACCGGTTTGGATCAGATGGTCGCTCGTACATTCGTCGTCGCCCGGGCGAGGAAGCCCTGCCAAAGTGCACGCAAGCGACGGTCAAGGGAGGCGGCGGATCGGTGATGGTCTGGGGTGCAATGAGCAGACGCGGCACGGGCTCGATTCATCGAATTGAAGGCATTATGAATCAGCCCGTCTACGTGGACATCATGAACGACGTGATGCTGCCATTTGCCAGGCGCGAAATGGGTCGTGGCTTCATCTTACAGCAGGATAATGACCTTAAACATACGAGTCGCCGTGCGAAAGAGTGGTTCGAGGAGCATCACATCACCGTTTTGGATTGGCCAGCTCAATCGCCTGACCTGAATCCGATCGAAATGCTCTGGGCGGATGTCAAAAAGGCTGTGAAGAGTAAAACGGTGAAGAACTGTAAGGAATTGATGGCGGCCATTGAAGCAGCTTGGCGTCATGCCAAGATGTGCCGAAGTGATGAAGATGAACGGTTATGCCACATCGTACTGATCGCAATAAAGCGCTTCGTCAACTCCATTTAGGTCGATGCATCGATGTTTTGAAAACTGCTATGGTGACAGCCCTACTTACTACCTACTTACTGTAGTGATCCAGAAATGGGATTACCCCGGGATAGTGTAGTGCAGGTGGCCGGAAGGGGAGAGTTGGATGACATGAGAGGACAAAAAAAAGCTGGGGACGGCCGGGAATCGAACCCGGGCCCCTCATCGTCGGTCAGGTATGCTACCACTGCACCACCAATTGCAGGAGCCAATCGCTCCTCTCAATGCCATCTCAGACAATACAGCCCCCCGGAAAAGTACCCCGGGAGTGAAAATTTTGGATGGAAACATTGCCCTCGACCTTCCCTGGATGAAAGAGGAGGCCATGCAAAGTTTGGTTGCACTGGCTCCAAGGGGTCCGAATGCATAAAGGAACAGACTGACAAACTTTCTTCTTTATATATATTTGTACATATATAGAGGTACAACAATACACAAAAAATCCTAACGGTAGATTTAAAAAAAGGTTTTTTTTTTTTTTACCGTGAAAGAATCTATTGAATCGAGGTTGATTTAATGTCGACACTTCCACCGTGAATAGTGCATCATTGATTCAATGTTGAGTCAATGTGGGTGTATAAACGGTGCTCACCGCGTTGAATCAATGTTGATTCAACATAGAAGTATAAACCTTCAACAGTGAAACATTCGATCCACACCAAATCAACGTTGAATCAATGTTATGTGCTACCTGGAATAGAGCTGCGATGTCTTATCGAAGCAAGTATAGCAGGTTCTTTTAAATATCCAAGTGAATTCCAACAACGCCAATGGCAACCAAGTCGGCCAGCGACACCAGGAAAAATGTATATGCATCTCGCACTGCCATAACAGATGTGATAGAGCTGCGATGTCGAATCCAAGCGAGGAAACCAAGCATATTTAATATCCAAGTGAATTCCGCCATCGCCACCGTCGACAAAGTCGGCCAACGACACGTTCAAAATATCTATGCATCACTCACAGCCATAACTGATATCATAGGGCTCCGATGTCGAATCAAGCGAGGAAACCTAGCATTTTTAAATATCAAAGTGACTCTGGTGTGGATCTTGGCAAACTAGAGATGATTCCCCTTGTGGTTTCCAATGGAAGAAAACGGGTCTGAAATTTCTAGGTGTATATCTCGGAAACAGACTTGGAAAAAAAGAATTGGGAGGAAGCAGAACACAAAATCAATTCTTTAATTGCAAAATGGACTCCTCGTTTCCCCAAGATGTCCTATCGTGGACGTGTTGTGATAATCATCTGATAGCTCCAAAACTCTGATATACCCTTGCATGTATCGAACCTCCACCTGGATTCCTCTTACAACTTGAAACTCTTTTTAGAAACTCTGGCTACATCCGGTATATCTTTACCGCAAGCTTCTCCTTGGCGGACAAAATCTTGTCTCCCTTGAAGCTAGGAGACTTTCTTTCCGCCTTTCTTCTCTAAAACGAGTTCTCACCATGACAAGCAGACATCCATCATGTGACACCTTTCTTTTTTTTATTTGCTCAACGTGCGACTTCCCTCTCAGAAGTCTAGGGGTCCTACTGCTAATTTCACCACCCATCACACGTTTTTGCACTCCTACATACATTATAGAAACAGCTTCACTTTGGTTTTCTTTAAACCTCAGTTGCAAGTCTGAGGTTTCTTCTCCTGACCTCTTTCCTTTAATTCCACTAAAATCCAATATTTTCCTGCAGGCCTTTTCCATTTCACCGTCTACTGCTCGGGAAGTAACCAATTTTACTACACTACAAGATATGCACAATGGTACCTCATGGATGAACCCAGACACTATACCAATTACAGGAAGAATAAACCCCAGGATACACAGACAGATTTCCATGGACCTACACACTATTAGGAAAAAAATTCCTCCTGATAAAACAGCACAAAGCACTCATTTCAGC